ATATATTTGCTCAGCTGTCTGTACTTATGTTGTCTGTATCCTAGATGTGTTTTTCTATGTTTTGCCTTAACTAATGCTCTCCTGGGAAAGAACCAGGCTGTGAAATCCTTCATGTAGAATGCCAAGAGAGCATGACAAGCATTTGGACATTTGAGCAATGCTTTTGACACTGTTGACAAAGATCAATAATTATTTCAAGCACCAATTAGTGCAACTAATGTTCTTAATGTCATTGAAAGTGTGCCTGAGAACAGCTGGAAATCTCCTATTTCTGGTGTAACATCTTTCTCATGGGAATTACACCTGAGATTGGGAGGTTCCATTTTACAGTCATTTCTTTACCCATTAGCCCCAGACAGTGTTGCAAAAATGAGCACGTTCAGTCATCAAGTTCTTAGTCAAATGCAGACTGAACTGAAGCTAATTCTAACTGATCAATATTTAACCACGGATCATTCCTCAGTCCTGCTGGAAGAGAGAAACGTGCTGACAGGGGGCTTTTTGGCTCTATTTTTCACATGAATAGAGAAACCACAACCAGTTTCCACTCTCTTAAGGCTGTAAAAAGAATCTTAGCAGGAGTTTCTTCCCATCATATTTTATGTCTATATTTGGTTTTGGTAAAGATGAGTTCTCTCTGTGTTACCCCAGCTGGTGTCGAACTCCTGGGCTCAAGCAATTCTCCTGGGCACAGTGGCTCATGTGCAATCCCAGCACTTTGGAAAGCCAAGGTAGGAAGATCTCCCCATTTTAAAGACGGGGAAGCAGGCTGAGTCAGACAAGTTGTCCCTGATGTGTATCCTGAGGGCATTGTTCCCTATCTCCAAGAATGAAGCGGTTTTTCCCAGGAATGACTCTGTCAAGAGTCTATACACAGAGTATTTACTAAGGCCATGGCAGGAGGGCAGCTTAACCAAGCAGGGATGTCAGGGAGGCAGGAGTAGAGGTTGTCAAGGAAAACTTTATTTTCAACTCTTCTAGGTAGTGGCCAGAAATTGTTTTGAAAGACAGGCTTATGCCCAGGGGATGGAGAAATCCAAGTTTTACAGCTCCTGACCTTGAAGGTTTGTGGTACAACCTGAACACTAAGCTAATGTGCCATGTATCGTGGGGATGCCAACAATAACAGGTCAGGCTCCTCCATGCCATGCACGTGTGTGTGTGTGTGTGTGTGTGTGTGTGTGTGTGTATGTGTGTGAACCATCCTCAAAACAAAGCCACAATTACCATGGTATCTCCTGTGGCTCCACTTCTAGGGACGGCGATAGATACTGCTGCATGGAGAGGCTATCAGGCCCTGTGCTGGCATGCAGGGGGTCTCAAAGATCCATCTTGAACCTCCAAGTAGCAAGAGATGTATGCCATTTTAGATAAAAGCAAGAACGCCTAAGTATTATTATTTTTACATTTCTAAAGGAGTCTCTAGAATTTCCCTCACTCTTGTATCCCCTGACAGATCTCTCTATCAGATATAAAGGCAGGCAAATGATACCAGAGTGTGGACCGAATGCAGAAGCTGCTGGCACCCACGCAGGGACAGCAGATGAGCTACAGGCCTGGCTGAGGAGCACCAGTCTCCAAATTTGGGATTTCCCTGGCCCCTCCTATTTTTCAAAAAAAGGAACTACTCTCCCAGTTTTCAGATGCAGGAAATGAGGCCTAGACATAGCAGCTCCATCCACCTGTTGGTGACGCAGCCAGTGCTCAGAGCTCAAGGGAAACTACTAAGATGGGAGTTGGTACAAGCAAGTGCATCATCACAGTGCACTCTCAGTTCCTTCTCTGGAGCACCCAATCTGACAGATAAACCTTGTTCCCCCTATGAACACAGAACAAAAATCAAAATGGGATACTTCCAACTCATATCCCATCTCCCTCACACCTTTTCTAGTCCAAGCCAAAGCCCCGTTTCCCTATTCATAGACGGACTCTCAAACTTCTCCCTTCTTCAAGGGAGTTTTGTGAAATGAGATGGAACAGATGAGAAACTTTTTAGTGGTACAGCACTTGGGGTAGGCAAGCCCACTCCTTCATAGAAAATCAGGACGAAATAAAGGCCCAAATCCAAAAGTCTCTGAATTCCAATTCAGACCTGTGTGGTCTGCTATAGTAGCCGCTAGCCACATGCGGGGCTACTGAACATTTGAGAGGTGCTCCGTGCAACTGAAGGGCAGGATTTTTTTTATTTCATTTCATTTTAATTAACTTAAAGACTGATCATTTGATTCAGTTAGTAAAAGGCATAAGTACATATGAAGCAATTTGGTTTGCAAATCTGCTTCTTCAACCATCAATGTTATAAAACCTAAATACAGATCCAGTATTTCTAATGAAACTTCAGTGTCTGAACCTAGGTGTGCAATACATGTAAAAAACACACCAGAGTTGGAAGACTTCGTAGTAAAAAAAGGTACATCTCATTATTAATTTTTATATTGACACATGTCAATTTTAATGATATATTTTATTTAACACATATCTAAAATATATTGTGTTAAATAAAATACATTATTGAAATTATTTTCACCTATTTTTTTATGTGCGTAAACATGATTCCTGGGAAATTGTTAATTTCATATTCTATTTCTGTTGGTTCACTACTCCTGATGTTTAATGCTCCCAGGGATGGTGCTACAGAGGGAATATCCTGGCCCAGAGATTCATTCATCCCTCGCCCTCTCATGTTGCTAAAGGTCCCTCTAGACCATTTTCCAACTTTCTCTTTCCTCAGCACTGTTTTAACATGACTAACTTCAGGAATCTCAGCTTCCCCTCACCTTTATCCCACCAACGGCATTCCCCTCCTCTGCCTCCTGGCTTTTGAAGACCCATCTTCTATTACGAATAACCCTCGTCCGCACTCCTCATTCTCAGTGTTTCCCTTTAACACCAGCGTCTCTGGCTTTTTCTGACAATCCCTATCTCTTGAAACAGCTTCCTTGGAGATGGAGGAGAGAGATACCAAATCACATACCTGCTCCTTCCTGCCTGTCTCCCACCATCACCCCCTCTTGCTCCTGCCGGCTGGTTTCCACCTCTGTTCCTCCATCCCGTCTTTTCTCTGTTTCACTCACCCTTTCTCGGTGCCGTTGGATCTCAGGCTGGATTTCTAGACTGCATGGAGATGGAAATCTGCCTGCAGGGGTCTCCTGCGGGGGGGTTTGGGGGGGGCATTCACTCTGACAGCAGGCCCAATTGTCTAGGTTGTCTCAAGCCACCTGTGCCTGGGTCACTAAGCTGTTCCAGGCATTCCAGGAAGTCTACGGGTAGGGCTGGGAAGGGTTTCCCCCCCATAGACCTCACTCACCTTGAGAGAGTGAGGGAAACAGGATTAGGCAGAGACTGAACCTGAACTGTGCTGCTTTCCACTGAGGCCTCTTCGCATCCCTCGGGAAGCTGTGGAGCTGGGGCGGCCCTTCAGAGTCCCCCTGAAGGAAAGCAAAGAGATGGACCTTTGTATCCCTGCATCAACCAACTGGATCCAGGATCCCCATGTCCCCCAGGGAGTGGCAACCTGGTCTACACAACCCACCACTCAAATAATTCTCTCGAAAGCCCCCAGAGATCTCCTCATTTCCAAATCTAAGCCTGCTTTCTTGGGCACCTCCTTCCTGATGTCCCTGTAGCCGGGCCGAACTGAATATCCCTTTTCTCCTGAGTTCTCTCACCCTGCACAGTCCCGACCCTCCCGCGCGGCTTCTGTCATGGGCTCCTTCTCCTCCTTAGACTTAGCTTCTGTCTCCAGCCCTGTTCCATCTTTTCTACCCTCTTGCCCCATCTCTTCCCTTGTCAACCCAACTTCTTTCCAGATGATTCCAAAATTCGCATCTCTTGCCTCCACCTCTCTCCTAAGTACCACAGGTCATCCCACTGCATTTGCTGGATGTGTACCCCTGGACGAAGGTGGCCTGCTTCTCCAACCGAGCTCTCCCTGCACGAAACTCAACCTCACATCACTCCACGTCTCCTCCTGACTTCCCGGTTTTACCCCCTCTCTCCCACCACCCTCCTCCTCCTGCACCGCGCACAGCAAGCTCTGTGGACTCCTTTGCGGCAGCTTCTGAATTCAGGTCTTCATCTCAGGGGACTGTGGCCATCAGCTCCTTCCCGCACAGCCCTGTGCGAAGCCCTCCTCAGCGGCCAGCTGGGGCATTGAGAGCAATGGTGCTCTGAGGCGCAGTGGCGACCTTCGCGTTCCCTACCGGCCAGTAGCGGTGGCCTCCCTGACCTAGAAACCTGGTAAATGGAGATGCTGGCTTACTGCAGTCAAGTTTCAAAAGAACACGGTTGGATAAGCACAAGGCCACCGCTGCTCTGGAAAAAAAACCATTATGCACGCCCCTCTGCTAGGGCAGACCCACGTAGGGGCAGCTTTGCACCTCCACCGGGTGCAGGCTGGGGCGGCTGGGCCCTACCGTCTACTCTTTTCGCTTCAGATTAGGAAGAGTCCTGATTCCCTCTGGGCCAGGGAATGTAAGGCCGATGGTCCCCAGGACTCTGAGAGGGACATGGACGTGATGGGAGTCTTGGGGCGAAGGATGAGGAGTGGGGAGGCTCTCTGCATTCAGACCTTGTCCCTAAAGTCCCTGGGAACCTCCAAAGACCAACCTCTCCCAGGGGCCGATGTAGGCAGGGGGACGGAGGGTTCTGAGAGGGCGGATAGGGTGGGCGCTGGGGGCCACGGAGGGCAGGGAGGTTTGAAAGCCGCTCCTCCGCCCCTCACCAAGTCCATCCCCCGCTCCCCGCAGGTGGTTTCCCCCCTCGGCAGCCGCACAGTGCCCCTAACTCCACTTAATTCGCTCTGCGTGCTCTGAATCGCATGCAGAAAGGCAAACTTGCTAACAAAGAGGCTGCCCGCCCGCGTGCGGGGTTCCGGCCAGCCTCCCAGGCGAGGAGAACCGGCGCGGAGTACCGCCGCTGGGCGCGGGGGCGCGGGGGCGCGGGGCCGGCGGGAGGCGCGCGGACACTCCCCCAGCCGGGAGCGAAGGGGCGGACCCGGGCGCCGGCCGTGTGCGGTGGCCCAGCTCTCCGCCGCTCTCCGCCTCTCTAGGCTCGGCTCCCATCGCAGCTAACGGAGCCCCAGGTCCGGGCCGGGTAAGTGCGGATGGCGGCGGGAGAAGTGCGCCCGCCTGAGGCAGAGCGCTGGGGAGGAGGGAAGGGGGGCGGAGGGAAGGGGGAGGGGGAGGGGAGGGAGGCTGGGGGTCCGGGCGGGGCGGGCGGGCGAGGGGACGCCGGCTGTGGACAGGAGTGGGGCAGGCATCCCGAGGGACGCGGCGGATGGGACCACGCGTTGGCGTGCGCAGGGGCGCGCAGCTTAGCGTCTGTAACCACACGCCGGAGTCTGCCTTCTGCACTTGTGCGTTGGGAAGAGCTCTGGGTCTCTGAGAGCTGTGTGTGTGCCCTCCTGGGACATGGTTGTTCCTCTTCAAAATGTCATTCTCCTTGTCCACCCTGAATTCCATTAGCTGCCTCTTGTGCATAAGCTTAGGCGACAGGCTCAAAGCTGCTTAGCTAGATGTGGACCGGCCTTGGCCGCCTACCTCCTGCAACACGGGGTTTGCTCATTGCTGGCAGCTGCTGTGTGCGGTGCTCATTGTTCTCGGCGGGTCGGGCTGCCTGTGCAGGGGTGTCCCGTGTTCCCTGGGCACCTCTGTGTATTTGTGGGAACATGACTGCAGGCCCTGTCACCTGTGTTTGTGTGCCCCTCCCTGCACATGCAGCTGGCTGGCCCCTACGGAAAGGAGGGTGTGAAGGTTCTGAGGTGTAGAGCTCTCATAGGTGATATGTGCAGTTTCAACGGCGCATTTGCTGGAAAGTGTGAAAGAGAAGCTGCTCCATTGGGTTCGGCTGGACAGCATCTTAACATGGGTCTCAGCTGCTGTGTGTGCAGGAATAGTGCTCCAGGGGTCTGCAGTGTGTGGCAAGTATTCTGAGGTGGGGTTGTGAGAAGAGGCAGCTTCTAGAAAAAGTCCTAAGTGCACTCTCGGGTGTAGGGTGTATGCAGGTGGAGGGTGGGGTGGCCCGAGAATGAGGGTGGTATTAGGCCACGGCGTGTTCAATTTGGGGGCAGCTGACTTGTAGTGGAAAGCAGCAGATGGAGCCTGGAGACCTAGATTTGAATTGGAACTTAGTGGTTGTCACTGCTTCATTTGCTTTGTTGCCTGAAAACATCATCTGGGGCTCAGTTGCTTTGTGTGAAGAATGGGACTAATAGTCACTGGCCTATCTCCCTAGGAATCTGGAAGCTCCCATTAGTTAACGCCTGGAAGTGCTTTGGCAGCAGCAAGGCTCCTAGGGCCAGGGACACAGCTGGGTCACAGGTGCAGAGTTGGTGGTCTGGGGCTGGGGAGTGCTTGGGTGGCCTGGAGCTGCTTGGTTTGTGGATAGTGGGGGAGCCACTTGCAGGCTGCCTCCTGCCACATTCAGCACAACAGGAGTGTCTGACTCTTGCATGTAAAATATGTACAGACCTGTGTAGTTTCTCATAGTTCTTGTATGAATGCCTTCCACAGCACAGGAGGAAAACTGGCTTTGATGTCTTTAAATCGCCCTGAAGCACTTTTCCTTTCCAGAGAGCCATCCTCCAGATGAACCAGTGGGCTTACGCCTGCCATCTTGCTTTTACCTTTATGCCAAATGAAGCAGTAAGGAGCATGCTCCAGTTTACAGCCAGAAAGACAGGAGATGAAGAAGCTTTCCCAGCCAAGGTCACAGGTCTAGGGTGCCAACAACTGCGGAGCTCTTTTGGGGTATAGAGACTTCAGATCCAGGGCCAACCCTGGCCTCAGCTTAGGAGGGGAGGGGAGGGAAGAGTCAGGCCAGATAGCGCCAAACAGCAGGACTTGATCTGGTGGTTTGATTGCCCTTGGATGACATCTGTCACTGAGACTTTTTTTTTTTTTTTGAAACAGAGTCTCTCTTTGTTGCCCAGGCTGGAGGGCAGTGGCACCATCTCAGCTCTGTGCAACCTCCACCTCCTGGGTTCAAGTGATTCTCCTGCCTCGGCCTCCTGAGTAGCTGGGATTACAGGCACGTACCACCACACCCGGCTAATATTTGTATTTTTAGTAGAGATGGAGTTTCACCACGTTGGCCAGGCTGGACTCTAATCTTGACCTCAGGTGATCCGCCCACCTTGGCCTCCCAAAGTGCTGGGATTATAGGCATGAGGCACCATGCCTGGCCCACTGAGACTTCTTTATATGTGGTAGCTGTTTAGTAATGTTTGTGAAAGCAAAGAGCCCTGGGTGGAGGATGCTGGAAACCCAGGTTAGGTCCCAGCTGTGCCCATGCCCCGCCATGTCCTGGGGAAGGCTGCTTTGCCTCACTGGGTCTGCTTCCTCATTGGTCCAAATCAGGGCATCTTTCCAGATTGTCATTCTGATCTCAGTTGTGTCTCACTTCCTCGGAGAGGCCTGTCCATTTCCCCATCTAGAGTGGCCACCTCCTCATCATGGTCACATTACTTCCGTGACCTGTTTCCTCTGTAGCACTGGCCACCTGTTCTGAACTTCCCTTTGCCATGTCCTGCTACAATGTGAGCTTAGTGAAAGCGAAGACTGCCTTTGTCCTGTTGTCTGCTGTCTCACCAGCACCTAAACACAGTATGTGCTCAAGAAATCTGGTTGTGTGAATGCGTGAGCGAGTAAGTTAATAAGGGAATGGGGGTGACGCATGCCTGTTTCTCAAATTGCTCTCCTAGGAGCTTTGGAGGGGGACCGTAAGCCCCATGGCCCTGGATCCCTCACACCAGCAGCCTGGGGTTAATCTAAGTTACATGTCTGCTTCCAGGTTTGAAGAAAGGGCCCTCCCACTAAAATAAAACTAGAAAACCTTGCACCGGAAGACTTAAAGGGTCTTTTCATCTTTCCAGCTCCAAGTTGAAACAGTAGCACTGCACCCGGAAGTAACACACACTTGGCCCTCTGTGAGGGTCACAGGCAGGATTCACACACACAGAGTGGTTGTTCTGCAGCTCATTTCTGTTTGCCCATAGAATTCATCCAGGTATTTTTTTTTTTTTTTTTTTTTTTGAGACAGAGTCTCACTCTGTCACCAGGCACCAGGTTGGAGTACAGTGGCACGACCTGGGCTCACTGCAACCTCCACCTCCCTTGTTCAAGCAATTCTCCTGCCTCAGCCTCCCGAGTAGCTGGGACTACAGGCGCAAGCCACCACGCCCAACTAATTATTTTGTATTTTTAATAGAGACAGGGTTTCACCATGTTGGCCAGGATGGTCTCGATCTCTTGACCTCGTGATCCACCCGCCTCGGCCTCCCAAAGTGCTGGGATTACAGGCATGAGCCACCACGCCCAGCCCATCCATGGATATTCTTATGCAACTGATTTAATTTCCTTAATTTTTGATTGGAGTTAATATGAAAATGATTTTGCATACAATACAGCAGCAAGGGCTATGTGGGAACTCTGATCCATGGAAGAGACAGAGCCTGGGCAGGGAAAAATCACAGAACATCTGCAAGGTGGATAAACCACTCACAGATATTTGAGAGCTCCTGATTAAGTCGACTGTGTTCGTCATGATCCTCTGTTGGGTGTGTTCGCAGGCTGCCTCGTCCCCAGGAGATGCCCACTCAGCATTGTCTTGCTTGAGTAGTTGCCAGTGCAGGGGAGCTCTGCTCTCTGGGCAGTTGCTGAGCCTACAGGACAGCCACGTGGTGGACCAGCCTTGGCTTGTATTTACAGCAGCCATGGTTCCTAGGGTTTCCAAGCTCGTCTCCATGTAAAACATTCTCGTGCTGTCTTTTTCTGTAAATACACTTGGAAATGGTTGGACAACTGCTGTGTCCAACACTGTGCCCAGGTTTGGGGCGCAGAACCTAGGTTTACCTCTCCCTTTTCTAAGCCCCACGCAAGGAGCAGTAACGGCCATGCCCATGACACAGAAGGAGACATCATCGTTTTGTCTGGTTGGTTTAGGAGGGTTGTGAAGGGAGATTGTGGAGACAAATGGAGAGAAGATGGGAGTAGAGAACTGGGCCCTCTGTTCACTCCTTTTGATGCTCCCTTCCTTCTTGTACATGTCCCCACTCTGGCTGACTTCAGTGCGTTTCTGGGTCCACACACCACAGTGCTGATAGAGTTGCAGAGGGAGGCGACAGATATACACTAAGTACTAATATTCACCAAGTGTCTACTGCAGCCTCGAGCCTCCAGGCCCTGAGAAATTCATCAGGAGCCGCCCCTGAACCCTGAGTGCTACTTGTTGAAGAGAGTAAACTTACACCCAGGAATCGGTGAGAAAACAGCCAAGTGCAGACTGAGTGGCACCCACCAAGCCACAGCTGGAGCTCCCAAAAAGGAAAGGTGGGCAGAGCCTGCAGGCGGAGGCAGCAGGCAGCAAGACTGGCAGGAGAGCTTAGCTCTGGGGGCAGATGGTCCAGGCGTGGATCCTGGCTACCACCCTTCCTCTCCGTGAGAACTTCGCGGTGTCACGTGACCTCACTACACTTCCATTTCCTCATCTGTCAATGGAGAAAATGACCTCTAACTCCTAGTGAGGTGCATGGATGCCTGCCTGAGCTGGACTCAGTAGAGGGCACGAAGCACCTAAGTGACCGCAGTGAAGTGGTGTGGGAAAAGGCCCGTGGTGAGGAGGGGGCTCTCAGATGGTGACCACTGTGGGATTGTCTAATGTTGGTCTCCTCTGTCAGTAGTCCAGGGGTCTTTGGCCTCCTGCTGGTTAGACCCCAGGCCAACCAGGCACCTCCTTTCTTCCCTTTCCAACTGTTACTTCCATGCTACTCCCCACACCCATCTACGGGAAGGAAAGTGGCTGCACCGCAACAGCTTCCCCTCCCTCCCTCACTGGGACAGCTGCCCCTCCCTCCCTCATGTACAAGCACACGACCCCGATCAGAAGCTGAAGTATCCTTGTTGTGAAATGTCAAAAATTGAGGATGTTACAGAGGCTCAGGAAATGCCCAGGAGACTTGCTTTCATGGTTCCCTAGGCTGTTTTGAAGCATTGAGCAGGGGTCCCCCTTTGATGGTGGTGTGACATAACCCCCCAGTGGCTCTCAGCCTTGTTCTGATTTATTGTTGTTAAACATGAACTTCATAGTTGGAAAGA